TTGAAGGAGGGGGCACTTACCCTACCAGATAGTAAGACTTATAAAGCTCTTACTATACTAAATCTTCATACAGGGACATGGGCAGGGATATTGAAAATAACTAGTGGAATTGAATAGAGAGCATGGAAACAGAAACACTCTTGTGCAGGGTCCCAGATATATTGATAGAAATGGCACTGCAAAGCGTGGGAAAGCATTTAAACAAGACAGTTCTGGGACAATGGGTTGTGCATATGGAAAAAAATGAAATTGGATCGGATGCCACATGATATGCAAAAATCAATTCCATATGATTTAAAAGCAAATGTGAAAGGCAAACGTAAAACTTTGACTAAAGTTATAGAATATTTTTCTGACTTCATGATAGATTTTTAAAAATATGACACGAAAATTGCTACCATAAAAGAAAATATTGATACATTCAGCTAAATTAAAACCAAAGCCTTTCATAAAAAGATACTATAAAGAATGTGGAAATACAACTTCTAAAACTAGAGAAGACACTTGTAATCCACATCCCTTGTAAAGGATTGTTGTCCAGAATAGAAAGAACTCCAAGAAAATCAACAGGAAAATGACAGACAACCCAATAGAGAAATGAGTAGAAGACACGAGGAGGCATTTCAGAGATACACAAAAGTATGAAAAGATATACAATCTCATTAGTAATCAGGGAAATGCAGCTTACATCTAGAGTCACATATCATTTTATACACACTGGATTAAAAACAAACTAATGTTTGAAAGTGCTAAAGGTTGATGAAGATATGGAGCTAAGGAAATTTATCTAGACATGATCTAGAATGTTGAACACTTGGATTCCTTTTGACAGCTATTCCACTTTTAGGAAGGCACTCTAGGTAAACTCCTGGACAGATACACTAGAGATGATATAGAGGAGTATTTAAGCAGCACTATTCATAACAGCAAAAAAATTAGCCACAACTAAATAACCCAAATGTTCTGTGACATATATGCATAATGGAATACTGTACATTGGCGAAAATTAATAAATTGCTGTATTGTACAACAGGATGTGTGAAACTTAAAACAATAATTTTGAGTGGAAAAAAAAGTCCCAAAATATAACATTCAGTAATTTTTTTTATGGCATTAACGGGAAGAAAGAGGTTACAATAAAAGAGGAATATGCAGATAGATACAACAGTATTAATTATTAACAGTATTATTATTAACAGTATTAATTATTAACAGTATTATTAGGATTCTAGTTCTTAAGTTGAATGGTGAGTTCTCTGGGGTTCATTTCGTTATGAAGCTAAATACCTTAAATAACATTAATAATAAAAAAATATATATATACATGCCATATTTATGTTATTAAGCTTCCTAAAACAATGTACATACATGCATAATACAGTATACATATGCATACACATAAATACAACAGAATATATATATTTTATGTATATGTAATATTACATAATAAAAATTTTAAAGCACTTGCTAGAAATATTTCAGATTTTAGAAATGTGATGAAATTCTTTAAATTTCAGCTTACCATTGTGAGCTGCTAGATTTTGTGGTGGTTATTTCAGAAACTTCTAGGGTTCCTCAGCATCTTCTCATCCTGCTGAGCCATCTGCTGGAGAATCGCTTCGCATTTTCAGGACAAGTTTAATTTTTTCTTTTCTGGCTTTTAAGTTCTGCATCCAATGTGATGTCCAAGTTAAGGAAAAAAAAAAATCTGGAAACAAAAGCATCGCCATTCCTGGGGCTTCAGTCACTCTCATGTGTGGAAACCATTTTGCTACAGTGGCTTTTGATGATATTGGCATGGGGTTCCCAGGAAAACACATGCCAATAGATGTTTCTTCTTTCAGAAGGATGCATTGGCATGTGTCAGAGCCATTCCCTTCAGAGGGGAAGTGCGAGAGAGACTAGTACACGCTCAGCCTGTGTCCAGTGAAGCTACCCTGTTGCTTTTCATGGCATCCTCCTACTTCTTCACATGTGCTCATTTGTTTACCTTAGATTTAATTTTAAACTTAGTAAAGGGAAGAAAAAAGCCACTAAAAAGAGAGATTTGACATATAACACTAGTGAATAAATAGGCAAAAGAGAAAGATTCAAATTAATCACTGCTGTTCCAAAAAAGACAAAAGCTACAGGTGAGGCCCTATTCTTGTGAGTCAAGGATAGACAGGACAGGTTGGTGGCCTAGTGTTCCTGCTCTGTTTCTTCCTACTCCTATTGTTAGGGTGACACATTCTCAACCAAAAGTTCTTTCCCCTTTTGATGCATTACTAGTAACAGCCGGGAAGTGCTAGCTACTTCTCTATCTTCTGCAGACCAAAAAATGTCCAAACTGTGATAAAAATGCAGTTCTAGAAACTGAGCATCTTTGGTGGGAACTGCCTGTGAAATGACAAATGGACTCTGTAGCAGAGTCAGATTACTCAGATGAAGGCTATAAGGCAAAATTTCTTCCATGTCTTCTATCGATTTTGTTGGGAGTTAACCCATGGCCCTGATCCTGAACAAAATTAAAACTCTTGGTTTTGGAACCTTTGCAGGAACATTTGCAATGAATAAAGAAAACAGGCCTGACCTAGAAAGGCAAAAATTCTGGGTTTGAACAAACTCGTTTTAGGCTCTGCTGTGATATTTGAGCATCTAAGGTAGTAATTTCAGCCACCAAGTAGCCTGTAAGCAAAATAAAGCTTATAAAACTTGCCCCCTGTTTAGCTAACAATCTAAATTTGGAAGATAATGCCTGCAAAGCATTTTGAGTTTCTCAGAAGAAAGGCCCCATGTAAGTACAAAGTATCGTTGTGGGTTATGAAGCAGCTGTTAAGAGATTGTTAGAGTGGCCAGACAGACAAAATTGGTTTAGAGAGGGTACTGTCTAGACACATTTTTTCTTCCTGTCACTTGCAACAGGACATTTCTCTATTTGAGCTATGGGCATACTACTTAATATCACCAAGTATCTCTTTGTCGTGTAGCACCATTACCTGACATTTCTGTTTAATGTTTTACAGTTTTAATTTTAACTGTTTCAATTCACCTCAAGCACAACAATCAGAAATTGAACCGTGTCCTAGTCCCTGTTGCAAGCTGAGCTGTCTAGTGTCCTGACACCCAAGGTAGGTTTTTGGCTGACACCCGAGTCAGGTTTTTCACTATTGTTAGAATATTGTTCTCTATTGTCAGAATTCATGACAGGAGACATCCTAGCAAGAGCATCAGATTAATCCCAAGTCACTTGATCTTGGATACTGTGGAAAAATCCATTAGCTTCATGGCAGGGAACCTCAGTCAGTGCTGGACTGTGCACTCTGAATTCAGTGGGGCACCTGGGCTTTCAAGGAGATGGTAGCTTAACAAGAATGAACAGGGAATTTTACATAATATATGTCATATGTTTGGGAGTGGGGACAGTTCAGGTTGTTAGGAGGATTTTCCCTCTCAAGAGGGATGGAAACCATCATTTCTGCCTCTTCGATTGCTGCCAGCGTCGCTGTTACTTTTTCTAGCGTCACTGTTATTATTTGGTGCTATGAAGTAATCAGTGTCAAGTCAACCTGGGAAAAAGACTTGTCAGTTACAAAGACAAACTTTCTATTCCAGGTGACATGACTAGAAGGAACTTCTCAGGATGAACTCTCTGAACCTTCCTTTCCTGGGCTTTAGTGTGTGTGTGTGTTTTAAGGAATTTGCAGGAAAAATACAACTTTAAGTCTTTGAGCATTGTCATTGGATGTTGATATCTGAGGTATATCTATCATACATGGCAAATCAAGAGCAATTGTTTCTTTTTAGAGGTTCAATTTTTCTTTTTCTGTAATAGATTTTTGGGTATAAACAAAATTGCAAAATTTAGAAAGCATGATTCTATAACCTTTAAATATAACCTGGTAGTGTTTGTTGAATGAGTTCTTCCATTAATTTTAGTTCTTCGGATGAGGGATCTTGTTATTGTTTTTGGCAGTTTTCTTTGCTAAATGTATATGGCCTGCCACGTCCTTTGTGTTCAGGCATCATTATTTCTCTTGGGTGTAATTAGTAGGAAGAGTGGCTGAAATGCAGATGACTCTCTTCAGTTTTTATGCATAGAAGATGAACTCATAGAGCTCTCGTTTATCTTATACCCATTGGTTTTACATGTTGACTTTGTGATTGTTGCAAGATTATTCAGAGGAATGTGTTATTAATTGTTCATTAAATGTTACTCTGTGATTCCTTAGATCTAGGTTTTAAAAAACTGCATCTATCTCATTGTTTATGTATTTATTCATTCATCCATTCATTCTTTCAATAAATACTTATTGAATGCTATTGATTGTCAAGCACTGTGGTAGTCATTGGTGATACAACAGAGGACAAGAGTGTCTTTTCTGTATTCAATAGTTTCCACCTTTCTGGGTCAAGCTGCTATAAAATACATTATTTTACTAATATTGGGAAAGGTGTTACTACCTTTTTTGTTACTGATCTGTAATAGTAATGAATGCTCCATTGGTAATTGCAGCAGGGTGCAGACAGCATATGACTAAAGATGTTTAAAAGCCACAAAATGATTGTAGGATCTTAAGAAAGGAGAACATTCTTCTGGGAGAGAAAAAATTAGAATAAGGATATACTAAAAGAGAAATCTCATTTCTGTAAGGCTTATCTTCCTTTTATCTTCTCTACATAGTTACTGAAACTTCCTTTCTCTATAGCTGTGTTCTTAGGCTTGCTCTGTGATTTTTCAGATATTAAAATTGGCACATAGTAATAAATCTTATGTTACTTTGGGCTGAAGGGTGAGGCTGGCAGTACAAGGAGAAGGCTTTCCTCTTAGACCATGTGTAAATCAGAGTACTTCCTTACTTTCCAGTAGTATAAACAACTCAATGAGATGTTTCTGGAGAGAATATGCCACCGTTTTTATTGTCTGGTGCAGAGGACGACATCTCATGTTGGACATTTCAGGGTAGGGAGGAGAAGGAAAACTAGGCCATGGTGGGTGAGTGTGGGAGAGTTAATAAGACATGTCGACCCTAGCAGTGTCCTCCAAATCACATCGTGAGGGTAGCAGCCTTCTTGTTGGCCTAGGCTTGCTTAGATGCAGCCCTCTCTCTTCAGGATAAAAAATGTAGTAAGATGAGGTCCCTTTCATTTTTTATAGTTCTGTACATTAAAGAGGAGGAATTAACTGAAGATGTTGAGGACCAAGTAGATGTTGTCCTTGGTGAGTGGTAGTAGTCAGAGAACCATGATCCTGGAGGATGTGTATCATATTGTCGCAACTATGCCATCAATACAAACCTCTTGTGTTTGTGGGGAGGAAAGGGAACTAACGGCGGTTTTCTAATGCTTCAAAAATAAAGAAGTGCTCTTTTTAGCTATGACCAATTCCTGTCTGTAGGAGGAGGGTCAGCAAAGCCGTCAAATGGTTTTGATGATCCCTGATAGTTTTCTCCATAATCTCATTTACCCATCACTTCTCTATCCCACCTCCTCCTCAAGTTCTCTTTAATTGGAGTCCCTGGTCGATCTTTATAATTATTCCTTCATGCACAAAGAACACCCTTCCTCACCCTCTCTCCATCTCCCACACTCCCTGTTGGGCTCTCCTAGTAAAAGTTGCTGCTGGTTCAATCTCTCTGCCTGCTCATCTCTCCACCTCTGCCTGCACCTAAGCAGCTGAGTGCAGCCATCTTAACGGGTCTCACTTTACATTTACGATGTGACATCTCAAGTGGGCCCACCTGCCTGGCAGTCCTACCATATTTCCCCCGAGAATTCACTTCTGCCTGCACCTAAGCAGCTGAGTGCAGCCATCTTAACGGGTCTCACTTTACATTTACGACGTGACATCTCAAGTGGGCCCACCTGCCTGGCAGTCCTACCATATTTCCCCCGAGAATTCACTCGCCTACTCTCAAAGCTAACTATTTCACACTTTCTCCTCTCACCTCAAACCGCCAACATTTCTTTTTTCCTTTCCAATTTTTTATTTCACTGAGAGAAGAAAAAAATACAGAGATAACTTCCACATATTCCGACCACCAAATCTACCCACCTGCCTGTACCTGTGCCTGCTTTCTCTGCCTTCCCTCCTGTTGCAGC